GGAGGGCAGAGGGAGGCCCTGGCGCCTCCTCCCACCCTCACGCATCCTCCTCACGCATCCTCCTCACGCATCCTCCTCCTGCACTGTCCAGTCCGCCCTCTGCCCTGACATGCACTCACACCAACACTGACGCAGCCTGCGGCCTCCTCTGTCTCGGCCTCTGCGCCTCTCTCTGCCGCTTCCAGGGCCTCCGGGCCGGGGCTGGATGCTGGGTGTGGGCGCTTGGGGAAGGAGAGGGAGCAGATGGGGATGGGAGCAGGAGAGGAGAGGAGAGGAGAGGAGAGGAGAGGAGAGGAGAGGAGAGCAGAGGAGAGGGGGATGGGAAGGCCAGGGCATGAGCATGGTGAGGGGGGCGCTGGCTCCCTGCCCAGCCCCTGTGTGCCCTGGACCCTCCCCCCTGGGGTCCCACTGGCTGGGCTGGGGCTGTGGCTGACAAGGACTTTCCCTTTGGTCTCTGCCCTTCCTCGTGTCTCCCTCTCTCCCTTCCCCCACTTGCTGGTTTCCACCTCAACTCCCTTCCCTCCCCTGGCTCTTCTCCATTCTCCCTTCCTTTCCTGGTCTCCCCCCACTGCCTGTCCCTCCTCTATCCATCACCCTTGCCCGTCCCCACCCCCCCGACCCCAGGCCGCCAGCTGACCATCTTCAACAGCCAGGCTGCCATCAAGATCGGGGGCCGGGACCAGGGCCGCCCCTTCCAGGGCCAGGTGTCCGGCCTCTACTACAATGGGCTCAAGGTGCTGGCGCTGGCCGCCGAGAGCGACCCCAACGTGCGGACCGAGGGCCACCTGCGCCTGGTGGGGGAGGGGCCGTCCGTGCTGCTCAGCGCGGAGACCACGGCCACCACCCTGCTGGCCGACATGGCCACCACCATCATGGAGACCACCACCACCATGGCCACCACCACCACCCGCCGGGGCCGCTCCCCCACGCTGAGGGACAGCACCACCCAGGTGAAGCCCCCCCCCTGCGGGCAGACCAGTGGCAGGGCTCTGGGTGGGGCACCCGGGGAGGGTCCGAGGGCCTGGGATCCTTGTGGTGGTGACGGCTCTGGTGAAGCAGCCAAGGTCTCCTTTCATGACGTGTCCTTTGCCCTGGCAACCCCGATGGGGAGGTGCCCACTATTTCTAGGGGACCGTCCCCAGAGCTGAGGGGCGGTTTGGTACCCAGCTAGACCAGGGAAGACTACCGCCACTTAAGAGGGAGGAAGTCTGAACTGGGGGGGAGGGCGGAATGACCCTCTGCCCATTGGTAATGGAAGCCATGCCCAGTGCTGTGGGCAGCCAGTGGAGACGTGGACCAGATGGCATTGCTCTGGGCACAGAGGTGGCAGCACTAGAGGAATAGTGGCTCACGGGCATGGCAGCCCCTGGAGGCTGGCGCGGGCCCAGAGCGGCCTCTGACTGTTGGGACCCTGCAGGGGGCATGCAGATCCGGTTCCTGCCTTCACACGTCCTTGACCCTGGGCCAGCATCGCCTGTCGCAGCCTCGGTGCCCTCAGGGGGTGTGGGGGCTTCCCCTCACAGTGCCCACCCGCCTGCTCAGGTGCTTGCCCAGGTCCCGCCCAGGGGTTTGTCTTCTCTGGTACCCAGAGGAGCAGCAGAAGGGGCTGTGCCTGGGGAATGAGCCCCCCTGGGGCGGACCCAGCCTGGCTTTCCTGGTGGCTAACGCCATCGAGCAGGTGTGACTCACTGAGGCAGCCGGGGGCCTGGCCTCGTTGTGGCCGCAAGGATTGTTGGCCCAGGGAGTGCGCGTACCCGGCACGGTGGACCTGGCTTGGTCACCCTGCCCCCTACCCAAGCTGCTCTGTCCCCCGCTCTCTGGCTGTTGGGCCTCTGGGCCCAGAGGGGCCTCCGTCCTCCCAGGCTGAGGGCGGGATTCCGGCCGCAGGGGGGCGCATCCTGCCTTGGGCGTCTGTCCCTGAGGCCTGGGTTCCATGAGCTCCAGGCCCCACTTGGCCAGTCTGTGCTGCAGGGACCCTGGGACTGGCTGACAGGCGGACCGTCCCTCTGCTCTGCCTTCGTTCCCAAGAACACCGAGGGCCCTCGGACGCCAGGCCTTGCCCTAAGGGGCGGGGATCCTGGGAGAACGGCCTTGCTTCCCCCAAGGTTGGGCATCCAACAAGCCCAGTGCCCTCAAACATGGGCCAGAAGAGCCTTCAGATGCAGTGCGGGGTGATGGGCAGGCCATCCACGCAGCAGAGGGGGGACCCTGGGGTCATGGCTGTGGAGAGGGCCCCCAGGGGAGGCTGCCCAGCCCTTGGGTGAGGGCAGCAGTGTCTGAAGATCAGGGGGTGGGGAAGAGGCAGGATCTAACTCCTCCCCTCCCCACCCCAGACTTCTCCCATCCTGACCTTCAGTCAGGCCCTCCCCCCACATCCAGCAGCCTCCCAGGCTCCCTTCCTGCCTGGACCCTGGGTTTCCCTCCCAGGGTCTTTTCCCTAACACCCCCAGAGGGCCCCCCTTACACTCACTCATCTTGGGGATTCTCTTTCTTTGCAATCAGAAGACAAAATGCTGACAAAGTCGACTCCCGTTGTCATGACAACCACAGCCCTAATTATTGTGTGCAGCCTGGTTCCCTGGCTCAGGGAAGGGGGTTGGGAGAGAGATGAGGGTGATGGGGTTGTCAGGCTGGAGCTAAGGAGCCCCCCAGGCCTGGCTCCCCCTCTCAGCCCCTGCTGGCCTCCAGAGGCCCCGGTGGTGGGGGACCTTGCCCGAGCCCTGAGGTCCCAGGTGTGGTGTCCAGTCTCCCCAGGTGCCCCAGGAGCTGAGGGGGCCACTGCAGGGCGTGCTGTTTACTCTCCCTTTGCAACGAGGGAAACGAAGGCCCAGGTTACCCAAGTGATGATAGAGCTGGGCACGGACCAAGGTGTGGTCTCAGCCCAGGGCCCCTGACCATGTGCCATCCTATACCTCAAGAGGTGGGGGTCTGCTGACCCACCGGTACCCCTCTTCTTCCCCCACCCCTCCTCTCACCCCCAGAACACAGATGACCTCCTGGTGGCCTCGGCTGAGTGTCCGAGTGATGATGAGGACCTGGAGGAGTGTGAGCCCAGTACTGGTGAGTGCCTCTCCCCCCTCCCCCGCCCCGGGCCCATGTGACAGTGACGGGAGGGGGGCGACTGTCCCTGATAGCTCCTCTCCCTACTGCCGCCCCCCCCCACCCCCCAGGTCCCTCAAGTGCCCTCCGGTGAGGCAGTGGTGTGCCCCAGCCCTCAGAGGTAGCGGGGTCCTTAGCTTGGGGTCTGGGGTTGACTGCAGCTCCCATGAGCCCTGGGGGAGAGGGGATGGGGAGGGCAGGTTTAAGAACTATAACTCCCATCAGCTCTTGGGTCCAGAACTGCAACTCCCATCAGTCCCTAAGCCTGGTGTTCTTTTGGTCACTAGTAGAGGAGGTCGCTGCTAGATCCTGAAGCTTCCTCATCCCCAGTCTGGAGGGGGGCGGGGGGGGCAGACATTCTGCCAGGGCTGCCAAGCCAAGCCAGGGCAGGAGCTGGGTAGGAGGGCCGGGGTGGGAGGGAAGGCTTCCCGGGGGTGGCTGTCCAGCCTCTGCTTGCTCCTTCCAGTGCAGCCCCAGAGAGACCAGATTGGCAAAGCAAGGGTGGGCCTTGAGTGCCGACTGAGAACTGTGGGGCGGGGAGTGGCACAGGGAGTGCAAGGGCTGCTCACCTGAGCAGGTGGGAGGGTGGCTGAGAGGAGCTGAGGTCCTCATGCCTGAAGCTGAGGGTGGGAAAGGGGGAGGGACCAGATTTCCCATCCGCCCCGTGCAGCCTGGCCGAGCCCACGGAGCACGCATCCCCTGCTTGGGTTTCCAGAGGCGTCTCCTGATGACCTTCCAGCAGCTGGCACCTGGGCTGCCGGTACTGGGAGGCTGGAGGCTGGGCAGGTACATGCAGGCTCAGGGAGGTGATGTGGTCAGCCGAGGTGGACAGGGTGACCGGGGTCCATCCAGTGAACCTGGCCTGGGGGATGGGCCCGGGGGGTCTGCCAGCCCCAGAAGAGATGCTCACGCGGAGTGTGGGCCACAACCACGGAAGGGATGTGGTGGGGCCTGTGGCAGTGGCTCAGCTTTTGGAGACCAAAGGTGGGGTTCTGGGATGCAGGCCTTCACGCCCAGAGGCTGAGGCCCAACTGCCCTCTATGTCCCCCTGTAGACCAAAGCGGAGGGCATCTTTCTAGTGGCCCTGGGCCCCACGGCACTTGGGGAGCCCCAGGCTGCTGGGCTGCAAAGGCCCCCCATGTGCAGCCAAGGGCCTGTGCTCTTGGAGCAGACGCCTTCCGCCCTCCGCTGTGGAGTCCCCTCTGTGGGGCTGCTCCCTCCCTTGCACCCTCACACTGCACCGTAGCGTTGGCATCGGGCAGCGGGAGCCCAGCACCCCTCCTCCACTGGCTTTATCCCTCCGACTCGTCACTCCCTGAGGTTTCCTGTGGGTGCCCGTGCCTCCGTGACAGTGACGGATGGTCCATGAGAGCCCTGGGGTAGGGCTCTGGGGTGCAGGGCTGCACTTGGCCCCACCTCGCGTGTTTGCACACATGCGCCGTGTCCACACTCTGGGATGGGGACCGCTGGGGTGAGTGGAGGTGTCCAGGACCCTCAGAGCCATTGAGGCGCACATCCATGTGCACACAGAGAGGAATGAGGACCGGGTGGCCACCATGCAGAGACAGGCTCCCTGGGCCACACCAGGGCCACACACTGTCCACCGAGGTCCTAGCTTCCCAGCCCCAGCCCGACGAGTCTTCGAGGGGCCTGGTGTGATGCTGAAGGTGCAGGTGGCTGTGCTGGGAGGAGGGGATGAGGAAGGGCTGAGGGGACTGCACTGATCGCTGGCAGCTCTGCCTGGGAAAAGGGCTGCGTACGTGGTGGAGGTGAAAGGAATAGAAGTCAGCGGGTAGGGAGAGGGTGGTGGGCTAGCCTGGCTCCCAGCTTTAAAGTAAGAGGGAGAAAAGACAGAATGCACGCTGAGCCCCCGGAGGAAACCCACAGAAGCCATGGGCTCCCCAGACACGTGTCACTTGCCTGCACTTGCCAACTTCAGGTTGGACTCTTGTCATCCTGATGGGGGGCCAGGCAAAGACCAGGACTACTGCAGGGCTCCCCAGGCGGATCCAGATCGGGCCCCCCACTGCAGGCCTTTGCTCTGGCACAGGACCAGGCCTCATCGGGCCCGAGGTCAGCATTGGAGGTGGAGGCGGCCTGCGGGAGACTGTGGCTGCCAGGGGCTGAGCCCAGGATGTTTGCACCCCTTCTGCCTGTCGGATCCTCCTCTCTGGGTCCAGGTGTGAAGCCAGAATCATCCCCGCTCATCTTTCCACCCTTTCCCATGACCTGGGCCTGCACAGACCCCAGGCTCCATGGCCCCTCCCCCAGCTGGGTGAGACCATCACCCAACACGGTCATTTTACCTGAGGTTGGCAGCCCTGTCACAAAGGTATTGCTTGCCAGACGCAGTGTTTACATTCTGTGCGTGGGCGTGGCTTCGGATGCACTCACAGTGGGTAACGGACCCACCGCCCCGCACTGTCTCAGCGCCTGACCCACACACTGCTCCGGGCCTGGCCCCTGTAGGGATCTGAGTTTGCCCGCAGGAAGTGCCTGGCTCACATCCATACGCACGCACAAGTCTGGCCAGAGGCACGCACGAGCACATCCATGCACACGTTTACGGACCTACCAGCAAGCTCACATGTCTCCACTTCCACAGGTACATACATGTGTTCAAACTAGAAGGCACATGCCATTTGTACCCAGACCAACAGAGGCACACACATGTACTCAGCTACAGTCTTGCACATGTGTGCTTAGAGCTCCAAATATATGTACACATAGGTGTGGACTCACAGATGCCCACCTGCTCAGACCCACAGTTTCATACTTACCCAGGTGCTCAGCCACACCAAGATGCAGATGCAGCGTGTCTTGAATGCACCACAGCACTTGCATGTGCTCAGAGCTGCACATACATGTGCAGACCCACTGTGGCACGCTCGCACACACATCTGTCGAAGCATGCACATTCCTCATGCATACTCAGAGTGACAGTACATGCTAGATCTATAGGAGCACTTGCATATTTCAGACACGATGCTCTTGTATGTTCAGGCCTGAGCATGTACACACGTACGTGCCATCGAGGCACATACATGTACATGTCCTCAGATTCACCGAATTCCATATCCATGCTCAGCTCACATGTGCACACGTGTGCTCAGACCTTTACGATCCTACACACACACATAGACTTCCAGCTGCTCACAGAGGTTTTAGAATTGCAGGTGCATGGATGCATGTTCAGAACAGCTACACACACAGTGTGCTCAGACCTGCCCAGGTACAGGTGCACACGTGCACAAGCACGCAGGAATTCGGGCTCACAGAAGTGTACGTTTTAGCTCCTCCCAAGTACACACTTGTGCTCAGACCCTCAAAGGGATGCTCTCAGGTGCCTCATGGGCACTCATTCCCACAGAGCGTGTCTGTGTGCACACAAATGCACCTGTACGGTGACCACGAGGTAACGTGTGCACATTCCAGGGAGGCTCTGTGTGCCCAGATCCAGGGATCCATGTCCTTGCACACGTTTGTTCTGACTTACAGACCGGCACCCCTCCCCCACTGGCCAGGAGAGAGCCTGAGAGGCTCACCTCAGCTCAGACTAACAGCTCATTCGTACATGTACACTCACGTGCTCAGAGAGACACACACATGCTCAGACCCCTCAAGGCATGCATACACGTGCCAAGTCCCACAGTGATGCACACACGCACACTCACACGGGTCTACATTGGCCCACCCAGCTCCTACTGCACTTAAGCCGTGCAGCTGCCTAGGGAGGGGTATGCACATATTCTCAGACTCACACTGAGTTCAGATTCACGCAGGCACAGATGTGTTCAGACCCCGAGTGTCTTAAGGTAACACTAGTTCTAGAACAGGTGCGCTGCACAACACCCGTGGTGTAACAGATTTATTTCCCCGTCACGTGAAGTTATGCACAAGTGTCCCTGTGTGCGGGCAGCTCTTCCCCAAGTGCCGACGCAGGGCCCAGGCTCCTTCTGCCTTGGAGCTGCTCCATCTTCACGGGGTGGCTTCCCGAATGTGGGAGGCTTGCGAAGGGGAGGGTTTGTGGGCCAGGCCTGCACGGGAGGTGCACATTGCTCCTGCCGATTCTGCCCTTTGGAGCTGTCACATGGCACAACCTACCTTCCAGGAAGGCCGGGAGGTGCGGCCTTGCTGTGCTCCCAGGAGGAAGCAGAAACAGAGAGTGACCAGCTAGTGACGTAATATGTCTGGTTTTCAGGTCACCAATGATCCATTCCATTCTTCCCACCCACAGAGCACACCCACCCCTCCCCAAGGGGGACACCGAAAACCCACGCACTTAGGGCTGTGACCTCAAAGGTGAGGATGTCGGGGAGGTGGCCGCCCACTCCATGGGGGACTGGCCTGGCTCCTCAGCACCCATGTGGGGTCTGGCACCCATGAACTAACTGATCTCACAGCCCAGCACACACCCAGAATACAGTGGTGGCCAGAGCCCCCACAGTCAACCTCCCACTCCAGAAGGGCAGTGGGAGGCGGCGGCGCCTGGCTCCCGGCTCCCGGCTCCCGGCTCCCGGCTCCTAGCCCAAAGAAGTCCACCAGCACAGAGCACAGGGCAGCGCCTGCGGTGGGCAGGGTCGTCCTTAAACCCCCCTCTGCTGCTGGGAGAAACGCCCTCTCCTCCGGGGCCCTCCCGCTCCCTCTGGAAGGCGCTTCCTGGTCTCCCCTCCCCAGAGCCATCTCTGCAGTGGGTGTCGGAGGAATATCCTCTGGGGCCTGTAGCGTTGACATCCACTTCCGGCTCCTGCGTGTTTGAAAGGCCCCAAAGGTTGTGTTAAGGCTCAGTGACAGTAGCCACACCCAGGGATCCTTCTAGACCAGCGGTTCTCAACCTTCTTAATGCCGCGGCCCTTTAATACAGTTCCTCATGTTGTGGTGACCCCCAATTTCATTGTTACAAATTGAACATAAGTAAAGCATAGTGATTCATCACAAAAACTGTGTAATTATATATGTGTTTTCCGATGGTCTTAGGTGACCCATGTGAAAAGATAGTTCGACCCCCAAAGGGTCACGACCCACAGGTTGAGAACCGCTGTTCTAGACCATTCCCAGCAGCTCACTTCCTGTTCCTCTGCCCAGGCCTGTCTTGACTTAGAGGTGACTGTCTTGAGGGCATTGACTCAGCAGTTGGTGGGAGGCGGCCACCCTGGGCTGGGCCCCCCAAAGCCGGTTTCTATCTTGTCTTACGACTTGGGGTTTGGAAGCAGCGGCTCTTCAGACACTTCAGGCCCCGCATTTCTGGGCGCCTCTCTTCCCTTCATCTCTGCAGCTCCACGTTCTTGCTGAACTTTGTCTCCTGCTTGTCTGTGTTACAAAAAGCAGGAGGCAGAGGCTGCAGTCGCCCCGGCTTCTTTCCTGGCGCGGTCCCCGGTGCCTCGGCCTCCGCACGGCCGCCCCCTGGTCATCAGGACGCTGGTGCCACAGCCTTGCAGCCGCGTCACCTGGCTCCTCTGTCCAGCTGCTGCTCTGTGTCCCTGGGTGGTCGCATGAGGGCCGCAGGCTCCAGTGGCACCATTTCTGGGGCAGTGCCTGTGAGAGCAGCATCCTTTTCTGTAACAGGTGCCCTAGGATCTCGGGGGTGTCTCACCCCGACAAGGGAAGCCCCGGGCGCCTGACCAGCAGGCTCTGCCTCAAGGGCGCTTTGCGAATCCAGCCTCCTTCCATGTGGGGCTCCCCCGTTTTCAACAGGTGGTCACAGGTCCCGGGAAGGAGGGGAAAGGCGTGGAGGGTCACGCACAGGAGGCTTTCACGGGCCGGCACTGCCACTGCTCAGTCACACGGCCACACCTAAGCGCAAGGGAATCCGGGAAGTTACTCTCACTACCCAGCGGATGGGGAAAATGAGTCTGGGGAAAGAGGTGATCCCGGAAACACAGGGCGTGTGCGCAGACCCGCGGGGCACATCCACGCTTCCACACCTGCGCACACGAGCTCAGGCCAGAGCCAGGGGTTCGCTTATGTACACACACGTCTGTTCAGAGTCAGACTCGCTGACATGCGCACTCACATGCTCAGAGCCATCGAGGTTCATGTGTGCACGTGCTCAGAGACACGCCCAGTGCCCAGAAGCAGGCCCTCGGAGGGTGTGTTCCTGCACATGTGCACACAAGTCCCTCCGTCTCTGACCTTGAATCCACCTTGGTGCTTACCCTTGCTGGGCTGGTGTTTCCGGGTGGGGAGGGGCCCTGTCCTTCAGGTCATGGCGCACGGTTACGCGGGTGGCTCTCTGCTGGAAAAGGTGAGTGAGGGCTGAAGTCTAGCCAGCGCCCTGCTTGCCCAGCCATGGGTCCTGGGCCCGGAGGGCGGGGCTGTGTTCACCAGGAGGACAGGATGCCTTTGTCCAATTGCGCCCGAGATGCTGTTCGCACCTGCAGGCTGTGGCCGGCCAATGGCTGCCTTTTTTCTCATTTGCATGAAATGCCCTGTGGGCTACTGGCCTTGCCCTCGGCCTGGGCAGGGCACCTGGTGGTTGAGGCCTTAGCCAGCTGATTGCTTGGTTTCTGACATCCAGCCTCAGTTCTAACCCCCTTTGGGGGTAGGTACATCCTGTTTGGTGGGAGTGGGATTCGTGGGTAGATTCCCAGTCAGGGCTCTTCTGTTCCCTAAAGGCAGCGGGGCTCAGCGTGTGGGCCTGTGATGGGGGGCGGGCCGGGGGTGGAGGGGGTCTAGGGGAGGAGGTGCCTGGTGATGGCTGGTGGTCTCCTTGCCAGAAGGGAATCCTCTAGCAAGTGGGACTGAAATCCAGTTTCAGAGCAAAAGGGGTGGCATCCGTGGTAAGTGCACCTGCATTTCCCAAATGCCGCAGCTGCCTGGAGGAGGGGAGTGGAGGGGAGGGAAGGGAGGCTGCTGATGTCCTTACCAGACCCAGGGGCACCCCACCCAACGTGCACCCTTGTGTGGAGCTGCACCCAGGGTCCCAGGCACCAGCATCTTTGTGAGTCTGCACCCCCACATGCCCAGCGGGAGGGGTGGCCTGGGGAGCCCCCGTTAGACTTCCCCAGTGAGGAGTCTCTGGGAACCCACCCCTCCTGCTAAGTCCTCGCTGGGCAGGTTTGCCTGACGCTCCGGGACCAGTGTAAGGCCCAGGAAAGCCCAGTACCCATGTTGTGTGAGACTTGACGGCCCCAGAGCCCAGGCCAGCCTCAGAGCGTCAGGGAAGGGGGGCAGCGTGGGGTCTGATAGCCGTTCTCTTGCTGGGGGTGAGGTGCAGGGAGGAAGCGGTGTGGGGTTGGAATCAGATGTATAGACCACGAGATGGCGGTAACAAGGGTCAGTTGTGGCTGGGGGTGTGTGTGTGGGGGGGAAGCAGTGAAGGCAGGACAGCCTTGGGCAGATGAAGGCCCTGGAGAAGCCCCCAGGAGAGCAGGGGTGGGGCTGGCACTCAGGTATGGAGGCCATGGAGCAGATGGGAGTTGAAGGGAAGGGGACAGAGGTCCGTGTGACTAGGCCTGGGGGGCTCTAGAGGCAGGCGAGGCAGCGCAGGGGAACCTGGGAGCCAGTGTGTCCTGAGGACCTAAAACCCAACACGTTGGAGGAGATGGTTGTGGGGGCCCCAGGCTGGGCAGGATTTGTCTGTGGCCCGAGGTCTGATGCCCCTGCATACCCTCGTCTAGATGGGGGTGAGGAGGGTAGGGAGCCGAGGCCTGTGCCCTGGTCAGCCTCTAGGGCAGTGGTTCTCAACCTTCCTAATGCCGCAACCCTTTAATACAGTTCCTCATGTTGTGGTGACCCCCAACCATAAAATTATTTTCGTTGCTACTGTTATGAATCGTAATGTAAATATCTGGTATGCAGGATGTATTTTCATTGTTACACATTGAACATAATTAAAGCATAGTGATTGATCACAATATGTAATTATATATGTGCTTTCTGATGGTCTTAAGAGACCTCTGTGAAAAGGGTTGTTCGACCCCCAAAGGGGTTGCGACCCACAGGTTGAGAACCGCTGCTCTAGGGCATGAGGTGTCCCCAGCAAGTATCCCTGATCCTATGCCCTGGGCCTGGCAAGCCTCAATCCTGAAGTTTCCAGGAGCAACTGGTGGTCTAGTTTAAGGTCTAAAGTAGGGATGGCTCGGGGTGAAAGCAGGGCCCGCAGGGCAAGGCTCCTGGGTGGGGTGGGGAAATGGTGTTCAGGACCCAGCTGCCCTGGCCAGGGAGCGGGGCTCTCGCCCCCTTCCAGCCTGGCCTGGCTCAGAGGAAATGCTTGATGAACACGCCTTCCCTTCCTGGGCAAGACCACGAGCCCCCACTCTGGCCAGGCCCAGTGCTGGGTGTCAGGGAGACAGAGGGGCCGTCGGCCTTTCCTACAGTGAGTTCACACCTGGAGGAGGAGGTGATTGGCAGATTTGCACGATGAGACGTCAGCAGGGGAAGGTGTTCTGAACAGAAGGCAAAGGTCAGGAGGGGGCAGGGGGGTGGGCCAGCGGTGAGGTCCCCACATGTGCTTAGGGTCCATCCAGAGGGGTGCCCTGCCCGCTTCCTCGGAGCTGAGTTTGCCCCTTACCCAGGGACCAGGTGCTGGGCATCCTCTGGGTCTGGGCTCAGACGGGGAGGGGAGGACAAATTGCGTTCATCTGTCGGCCAGAGGCAATTGGGAACCAGGCCTTGGTCCCACCCTCATTTTATAAACGAGGAAAGGGAGGCCCAGAAAGTGAGGCCACGCAGGAATTAACGACAGAACAGGTCTGTGGCCTTCTAGCTTCAGCCGCCTGGCAGGCTACTGCAGCACGGAGATGAGCCCGGCCCTTTCCTGGCCTCACCGAGCCACAGAGGGACTGGGCAGGCCAGTGGTTCACCGAGCCCAGTGGTCGGCAAACTTAGTCAACAGAGCCAAATATCAACAGTACAACGATTGAAATTTCTTTTGAGAGCCAAGTTTTTAAAACGTAAACTATAGAGGTAGGTACATTGTTATTAACTTAATTAGGGGACTCCTAAGGCTTAGGAAGAGCCACACTCCAGGGGCCAAAGAGCCGCATGTGGCTCGCGAGCCGCAGTTTGCCGACCACGGACCTAGCCTGACGCCCACCCCAGGCTCAGCATTCTTCAGGAAAGCCAGGCAGGACGGCCCAGCTCCAAAACACACCTCTGCTCTTGGCTGCGTGACTCAGTGTGGCTGAGCCCCCGGGGGGCCTGGCGGCCTGGGGCTTCGTAATCTGGGGTGCAGGTGAGCCGCTGCTCGGGGGGGGGGGGGGGTGGGAAAAAAAAAGCAGCCCGAGATACTCAGCAAGACTTCGAGTTCAAGGACAAGATCTTGGTTGCTGTTGGCTAGTGTGGCCGAGGGTGGCTCGGCCCGGTGGCTGGAGCTTGTGGTCTGAAGGATCAGCAGAGTGTGAGCCGCCAGCCGGGCTGCAGAGTGGCAGGCTGGCCTGGCAGTGGAGCCCTAGGGTGCTTCCTACAGGGGTGGGGGGCTGTGGTGCCATCTGCGAGGAACACACCCGGCA